GTATTCCCCAGTTTTCCCAGTGTAGCTGAAGGCGTCCACCCACTTGAGACGGTTGTACTGGAACGGCTGGGGGTGGAAGACTCCAGTCGTTCCGAACCTGAATTTCATCGTCTAAATCCACGGGCACCTCTGGATGATCTGCCTCTAGCTGATCCTCCCCTAAATTTGTTGTATGGGCGACGAAAAGAATCCTTGGGATCTTTAGCTGCAGCTAATTTCTTGTCCCGTGCTTTCTGTAGCCCCGAAAACTTAGACTTGCCCGAGTATCTCTGTGTTGACTGTTTAATGACGTTCGCTAAGGTATCCATGGATCTGATCATAAGTACCTCTCTCGAGTCTTTAGATACTTCTTTGGAGACCTTGTCTATGTTGCCACCAAACAGTAAGGCTGATGACCATGGAGCTGTGTATAGAGATTCTGTGAAATTGCTTATCCCAAGAGCAGGAGGCTAGTAAGCCTTGCCGACGAGCCATGGTAGTAGTTTCAGTAAGCTGACAGGTGCTCTGTAAGAAATTGGTGGTCTCTTTTCTGCATGAGTAGAGCTGAGTAGATCATTCTATCTTCCTCCTCTGTAGAATTCTTGAACTTGGTGATGAGAGTTTCATTAATAGTTCTAGATCTATTCAATCCAAAGAACATTCTCCTGGAGATGGTATCTAATTGGAGCCAATTTTGCGATCGTCTACTCTGTAACTTCTGGACTTGGCATCACTGATTAATTTAAAGTTGTCATCAATATCCTGGGCCTTGAAAAAGGGGTCCATATTGTGTCCAACAAATTTCTTGGCATTGAAGACCGGGAAATGTGTAGATTGGACTTTCGAAGATTTGGAACAGGCTGTATCCAGATTAGCTGGTACCGCTGCAATCTGGTCAATAGGAGGTCAGGTGATATTGTCTACATCATCATCCTTCATCAGGTAAGTCTGAGTTGAATTCTCGTTCTTCGATGGGGAGGCAAGTTGTAATTCATTCACCATCCAGTATCTAATCTCAGCATCAGAGAAAATGATACCTTCTTCCTCTGATGTAGGGTCACATGTCATAGTCCTAGATCTGTAGGAAGATCTATGAGAGGACTGTGGTGAACGGACTGACGAGTGGCTAGTGTAAGGAGACCTTGGAGGAGATATCCTCGGCGAACGCTGGGGACTTCGCGAAGCTCTTCTAAATCTTCTGGGCCAGGTAGATTTGGAGCCACTTAGCCTTCACGACCTTCGCGAATGTATCGAGTCAGTGTCCGAATCGACATATGAGCGCTTGCTTCGCGAATGACCTCTGTGTTCTACAGGGTGTGGGCTCGGCGAAGCGCTCCTTCACCGCGATATCCCTCGCAACTGGAGAGGCTCTAGCTCCTTTGCGGAGGCGTCCTGGGACTTCCTTTGCGAAGTGATCGCTACGGGCTGGGTTGCCCTTTGCGGAGGCGCGTTTGTGGGCTCTAGGGCCCTACGCGAAGCCAAGGCGGGCTCTGGGGCCCTGTATGACTTATTATGGGTTGGGCTCTGGGGCCCGTGGCTCTGGGGCCTCTGTAAACCGTAACGGTCCTCCATCAGTCTCATGATTTGGTTGACCAGGTCGTCTGGGACGGTCTGCGCTGGCGTTGAGGGTGGCCTCTCTGTGAAAGTGACGGGACCCTCAATCATAAACTCCGGCGTCAGCGTAGGCATCTCTGGTTGCGTGTTGATCTGCGCTGTAGTGACGGTAGCAGGTACTGGACGTTTCTTATGACGTACATCTGGAATGATAATCGGAATGTCATCATCATATAAACATAATTCTGAGACAGGTAGAATATCGGAGGCAAAATTATTTGTAGCTTTCGTAGATTTCCCTTTTGACGAAGCTGTGGACCTGGGGGTTCGAAGCGTACGTTGAGATGATGTGGACGCTTTCCTAGTCTTAGACTGTGAAGACGGAATGTCTTGAGATGCAGGTCGCTTCTTGGACATAGCGGACTGCTTCCCACGCTTATCCCCAGAGGGAAACTCAGGCAGGCCACCAGCCGGTGGCGGGTCGTCAGTCAACAGTTGACAGGGTATATTATTCCGATCTATTAGCCATGATTGAAGATTGTTGCGAGATTTATCTGCCTTCCATCTCAAAACGGAACATAAATATTTATCAAAGGCAGAAATTGGTAAATTAATACATAATTTACAACGAGAAACAATAGAACATGGAGTAATGCAACTAGGGCATTTTAAATGTGGATCGGTAGCGGAATAACGTAGTTTACAACCTGTGCAGATTCTCATTAACGTAAACTGCTGAACAAACACGGCAAACCGTGAATAAAACAGCAGAAACACGACTAATAATCAATGCAAGTTGAATAAGGATACTAGTTACACCTCTATAACTGAATATAAGAGGTACTAAACTAAATATAAATAAAGGATATAGTGTGTTGGGAGACACAGACGCTCTCACGTCCAGCTCACTGGGCGAAGAAGGAGAGAGTGAGGCACATGGGTTGAGGTGGCGCCCTCGTTCCCGCGCTTGTGGAAGGGAGGTAACTCGTGGTGAGTACTAATTAGTGATTTTTTATTGAAGGGAACTTCAATTGGGAGATACACGTGTTCCACTATGTTCGCAAGAAGAAGAGGACAAGCAATAAGCATGAGTCAGGATAAGGAAAAATAACAGCATCTGTGTCCTGTCTACCTGATTGGTTGGGAGAGTCTCATAACAAAGGCCCCCCACACACTGATACAGATTAGGTATCACACTGAAATACCCAGCCACAGCATCTGTGTCATGTCTACCTGAGTTGGTTGGGAGAGTCTCAGTAACAAAGGCCCCTATAGATTAGGTATCCCCCACACACTGAAATACCCAGCACAGCATCTGTGTCATGTCTACCTGAGTTGGTTGGGAGAGTCTCAGTAACAAAGGCCCCTATAGATTAGGTATCTCCCACACACTGAAATACCCAGCCACAGCATCTGTGTCATGTCTACCTGAGTTGGTTGGGAGAGTCTCAGTAACAAAGGCCCCTATAGATTAGGTATCCCCACACACTGAAATACCCAGCACAGCATCTGTGTCATGTCTACCTGAGTTGGTTGGGAGAGTCTCAGTAACAAAGGCCCCTATAGATTAGGTATCCCCACACACTGAAATACCCAGCCACAGCATCTGTGTCATGTCTACCTGAGTTGGTTGGGAGAGTCTCAGTAACAAAGGCCCCCTATAGATTAGGTATCCCCACACACTGAAATACCCAGCACAGCATCTGTGTCATGTCTACCTGAGTTGGTTGGGAGAGTCTCAGTAACAAAGGCCCCCTATAGATTAGGTATCCCCACACACTGAAATACCCAGCCACAGCATCTGTGTCATGTCTACCTGAGTTGGTTGGGAGAGTCTCAGTAACAAAGGCCCCCTATAGATTAGGTATCCCCACACACTGAAATACCCAGCCACAGCATCTGTGTCATGTCTACCTGAGTTGGTTGGGAGAGTCTCAGTAACAAAGGCCCCTATAGATTAGGTATCCCCACACACTGAAATACCCAGCCACAGCATCTGTGTCATGTCTACCTGAGTTGGTTGGGAGAGTCTCAGTAACAAAGGCCCCTATAGATTAGGTATCCCCACACACTGAAATACCCAGCACAGCATCTGTGTCATGTCTACCTGAGTTGGTTGGGAGAGTCTCAGTAACAAAGGCCCCTATAGATTAGGTATCCCCACACACTGAAATACCCAGCCACAGCATCTGTGTCATGTCTACCTGAGTTGGTTGGGAGAGTCTCAGTAACAAAGGCCCCTATAGATTAGGTATCCCCACACACTGAAATACCCAGCCACAGCATCTGTGTCATGTCTACCTGAGTTGGTTGGGAGAGTCTCAGTAACAAAGGCCCTATAGATTAGGTATCCCCACACACTGAAATACCCAGCCACAGCATCTGTGTCATGTCTACCTGAGTTGGTTGGGAGAGTCTCAGTAACAAAGGCCCCTATAGATTAGGTATCCCCACACACTGAAATACCCAGCCACAGCATCTGTGTCATGTCTACCTGAGTTGGTTGGGAGAGTCTCAGTAACAAAGGCCCCTATAGATTAGGTATCTCCCACACACTGAAATACCCAGCCACAGCATCTGTGTCATGTCTACCTGAGTTGGTTGGGAGAGTCTCAGTAACAAAGGCCCCTATAGATTAGGTATCCCCACACTGAAATACCCAGCCACAGCATCTGTGTCATGTCTACCTGAGTTGGTTGGGAGAGATATTCAGTAACAAAGGCCCCTATAGATTAGGTATCCCCACACACTGAAATACCCAGCCACAGCATCTGTGTCATGTCTACCTGAGTTGGTTGGGAGAGTCTCAGTAACAAAGGCCCCTATAGATTAGGTATCCCCCACACACTGAAATACCCAGCCACAGCATCTGTGTCATGTCTACCTGAGTTGGTTGGGAGAGTCTCAGTAACAAAGGCCCCTATAGATTAGGTATCCCCACACACTGAAATACCCAGCCACAGCATCTGTGTCATGTCTACCTGAGTTGGTTGGGAGAGTCTCAGTAACAAAGGCCCCTATACATTAGGTATCCCCACACACTGAAATACCCAGCCACAGCATCTGTGTCATGTCTACCTGAGTTGGTTGGGAGAGTCTCAGTAACAAAGGCCTCTATAGATTAGGTATCCCCCACACACTGAAATACCCAGCCATAGCATCTGTGTCATGTCTACCTGAGTTGGTTGGGAGAGTCTCAGTAACAAAGGCCCCTATAGATTAGGTATCCCCACACACTTGAAATACCCAGCCACAGCATCTGTGTCATGTCTACCTGAGTTGGTTGGGAGAGTCTCAGTAACAAAGGCCCCTATAGATTAGGTATCCCCACACACTGAAATACCCAGCCACAGCATCTGTGTCATGTCTACCTGAGTTGGTTGGGAGAGTCTCAGTAACAAAGGCCTCTATAGATTAGGTATCCCCACACACTGAAATACCCAGCACAGCATCTGTGTCATGTCTACCTGAGTTGGTTGGGAGAGTTTCAGTAACAAAGGCCTTTATGGACTGGACAGCCTTCTCCTTCATGCACTCCACCTTGTCATCAAATTTGGCCAGGTCCTCCTCCACTATCTGCCCGCGGGCCTTCTCAATCTCCCGAATGTTAGCCTTTATCTGTTGGATGGTGCGGGAGGCATTGATCTGTTCCTTGTTCAGGCCTTTCCAGTTCTCCTGTGAAAGCAGCTGAAACACACAGACACTTTACTGACACTATGTCATAAACATCACGGTGCTAAATACAGGATGTATTAAACATGTGGAATGAAATGTAGCCAGTTCCTTATTATCCAAAACCAAATGAACATGGAAGTGTTAAAATGGTTTCCATTTTCAGTTAGGACAAAGTTTGTATTTTGAGCTGCAACATGATCATCTGTGTACATGACTATCATGATGACAACAACCTCTCATACAAAAGTTCTAATTCTGAACCAGCTCACATCATGTCTTCCCTACCTTCTCCATATTCAGCCTGTGTCTCTGCAGTCTGTCCAAGTCTATCTCAAGAACCTTGAGAAACTTGGATACTGATGGTTCCAGTCTTTTAATGGGATATTTCTGTACAGGGTGGCTCACCGCCTGCATGGGGGACTTCTCAAAAGACATATCTGGAAGGGAGTGACCACATCTAAACACATGAACAGTATCAGCTAACTTCCCAAAACAACTGACTCAATAAGTGAGTATTATTCTAGCAATATTCACTGCAGGGGACACCAGAAATAGGCTTCACATATTGTACCAATGAAGTGAATCGAACCAGGGTTTTTGACGTGATGAGCGAACACTTTAACTGTTAGACTTACAGTTACTATTGCAATATTATCATAGAAATAACTTATGTTGTTGCTTTCGACAAAAGACTTGCATTTTATTTACAACAGGACCAATAAGTGAAAAGTGGCTTACATGTATTATTTTACTCTTTTGTATCAAGAAATAACAACTTAGAAGAAAATATCAACATTGTACAAAACCTTGTTTACCAAGGAAATTTGGTATGGCATCTCAGATAAAATGTGCTGTCTCCATGACTACTGAAATTATTGATTCAGATACACTTTGTTTCATAATTATCATGGAGTGAGTGAGTGAGTTTAGTTTTACACTCGCTTTTAGCAATATTCCAGCTATATCACGACGGGGGACACCAGAAATGGGCTTCACATATTGTACCCATGAGGGGAACCGAACCCGGGTCTTCGGCGTGACGAACGAACGTTTTAACCACTACGCTACCCCACCGCCCAATAATTATCATGGAAGGCATGCTAAAGGTTTGAGATAACCTATATTTGTGTGATGTCTGAAAAGGTTTTCCTGATTCAATAAAGTATTTGATTCAAATATCTACAACACATGTAAACATATGATGTTAAACAAATAACAAGTTTCTTTCACTGAAAATGAGATCTTTTCATATATATTTTGTGTTTCCAGTCTGATCAGTATGCCTCGAGATTTATTGTCACCTGTTTAGAGGCTGGTATTCTGCCTAGAGTGGATTAGTTAGTCAGGTGCCATTTGCAATAATTCATCACAGTAATTTGCAAACAATCTTTAAGGTGATGATCACATAATTTGTTGCATTTCCTATGATGGAAAAGCTGCTTCTAACATGATATGAGAGGGTTATGACTGCCAAGCTGAGATGTATGGTGGTAACTAGGAATATATCATCATCAGGCTGTATAAAAAAAAGATGGAAACACTGACAGATTGTACAACTACATTCCTCCTTTGCCAAACCTTCAGGAGGCGAGGCCTTAAAAATCTACTATTTATTTATATTGTTAATAATCACTAAAACATTTATACCCGTGAAGGTCCGGGGTTAGAATATTGACCTTCAGTAACCCATGCTTGTCGTAATAGGTGACTAATGGGATCGGGTGGTCAGGCTTGCTGATTTGGTTGACACATGTCATCGGTTCCCAATTGCGCAGATCGATGCTCATGCTGTTGATCACTGGATTGTCTGGTCCAGACTTGATTATTTTCAGACTGCCGCCATATAGCTGGAATATTGCTGAGTGGGGCGGCGTAAAACTAAACTCACTCACTAAAACATATAAATATACATTTTCTTTTACTCTAGGAGAGCAGCATATCTTTCTGACATGGTGATTTTACAAAGATACAAGCCATAACACAAACACATACTTGCAACACATGTTATATTTGGTATTACCCTTTCTCAGTAAAGTACAGATTCGGGATTCGAACCCAGTACACTCTCAAGAGTCAACCACCTAATCGCCAACACCCAATTTCAATGGTAGATTTAGAATATACCACTTTTCCAAAACATGAACTATTGTCGTACGTTACATACAAAACTAAATTAGTTTGTTAAGAAGAAACTCAAGCAGGGAACACTACTTACAAGGACGTAGAGCCAACTAGAAAAAGATTGACTACGCAATAGCAATACATCTACCTGTTTACATGCACAGTGGGTTCCGATGTGGAAACTAATGACGGATTTTAAAGACTAGGAAACAATACGTGTATGCTGAATCTCCTTTTCATGTAACGAATTTCCCTTCTCAACATCTCCGTTTGTTTTTAGTTGGTGGTAGACTCAAAACATGACTTTTCTTATTTTCCTATTCTTACTGGGATCTGTCCCAAAAGATCTCAGAACAAATCATTTGCGCGTACATTCTCTAAGACCAGTCATGTGTGGAGTTTAGTCCACTGGCTCCTGTCCGTGACAATAAACTGGGATCCGTCTCTTCTATAAAACAAGTTGATGACGCGCAGGTTTGAGAGACAGAGCCCAGCAAACCGAAAATAGCACTAGTCAAAAGGCTTACACGTCAAACTGGCATTTGAAAGGCAAAACCGAAACGGCCCTAAAAAATCACAACCATTATTTGCATGAGTATATGTAGGACGAATGTAGCAGGGCGTGGAGTCATCCCACAGACTCACTCGCACCTTTCTGCAACGCCCTTAAGACTGTTACATATCATCGAAAATACTAAAAAACAAAGACTGCGCTTAAGAATTTAGTACTTTGTTTCAATTATTACAATATGTCATCGTTTGACAAAAAACCGTAATCACACAACACAGTTGTTATCTACGGAAGCGCTGAAGGGACCTGATGAAATAAAATCTATCTTGAGCGCACGAGTTAGTACGGAAGCGCTGAAGGGACCTCATAAAATAAAAATTATCTTGAGCGCTCAAGTTAATATCTTGAGCGCACAAGTTAGTATCTTGAGCGCACAAGTTAATATCTTGAGCGCACAAGTTAGTATCTTGAGCGCTCAACTCCGTGTTTAGCATCTAATGGCATTAATGGAACGCACATTTGCTTGACTGCTGGCTAAAATGTACAAACTTATATCCTTTTTGGAAGATTTCAAACGATGCAAAGTCGGAGTTAACTATAGGTGTTTATGATGAGACTATGTAAAAGTATGCAAATGTATCATGAACATTGATAATGTTTATCATGTAAACGTTCATCGACTTTATGCTTGTCAATACTATTCTTGTAATACAATCTGTTTTTACCACTTTTTGTTTTATTACATACAGCAGGCCCAGGTATGTGGCCCCATCCGGGATTCAAACTCACACCCTCAGAGTCAGGCACCTAATCGCCAGCACACAAAGTCAGCCGCCTAACCCACTCAGCTAAGTTAAATTTTCAGAACAGAGTTTGGAAACTTTCAGCTAATTAGTAAATAGGGAATACGGATAAATTGGTTCCTGGATCCCCCGATTGGTGTCGCTGCTCTTGTTCGGCTTTCCACAGAAATTCGGGCGCAGGAACGAACGGGAACCGGTTTAAAATGGGGATTTCCCCGTTCTCGCAGCGACAACAAACGAAGGATCAGGATTGCGGAGAAACAACACCAACGGGGAAATGTTTCTCATGACTATGTACAAACAACCTGAAAGTACTTTTATTTGATCCTCAAGTTGTTAACTTGTCGCGCAGAAGTATGATCAACTGGTATGTGTATGCTGTAAGCATAACGTATGATTCATATCATAGAGTCATAACTGAATATGGCATAAAACTGGTAAACCATACTCTTAGACGTAAATAAGCCTACATCCATATAGGTCTATTTGAGTTCTAACCCGGTCAAAATATGATGTTATGGCTGCTTGTCTGTTGTTTGGTCCATATTGTGACTATGTCAGCCATGAAACTGGACCTGACGTCCTGCCCCAGTCCTATCTTAGACAAGTGGAAAGAGTATGACGAGAGATGTAAACAGGAATCCCCAACAAGGAGATTCCACTGCCAGTACGATGCAAGTGGGGACAAGATATCCTCAGCGTGTGCTGTTGCTTCAAAATGTGGACCAGGTAATTCACGAGGGGAGAAATTATCAAATATATTTAACAGGTGTCAGCTATACATTACACGTCAGTCGGAATGTTGTTTTATTTTAAAACGTTTTCTGTGGACCTTGAAATGTGAGGATGGCTAGTTTGGGGATATGTATGTATGTATGTATTGATGGTACATGACATGATCAAAGTATTAAAATTATGTATCCTCTGATCTCATCCATAAGTTGAGTACATATTTATCAAGCTTCCCTGCACAGAAATGGAGATTGTATCAGTACAATGCAGTATTGTATGTTGTAGGTACACATGCCCATATAGACAGAGAGGGAGACTGTATCGGTACAGTGTTGTATGTTGTAGGTACACATGCCCATAGACAGAGAGAGGAGACTGTATCGGTACAGTATTGTATGTTGTAGGTACACATGCCCATATAGACAGAGAGGGAGACTGTATCGGTACAGTATTGTATGTTGTAGGTACACATGCCCATATAGACAGAGAGGGAGACTGTATCGGTACAGTATTGTATGTTGTAGGTACACATGCCCATATAGACAGAGAGGCAGACTGTATCGGTACAGTATTGTATGTTGTAGGTACACATGCCCACATAGACAGAGAGGGAGACTGTATCGGTACAGTATTGTATGTTGTAGGTACACATGCCCATATAGACAGAGAGGGAGACTGTATCGGTACAGTATTGTATGTTGTAGGTACACATGCCCATATAGACAGAGAGGCAGACTGTATCGGTACAGTATTGTATGTTGTAGGTACACATGCCCATATAGACAGAGAGGGGAGGAGACTGTATCGGTACAGTATTGTATGTTGTAGGTACACATGCCCATATAGACAGAGAGGGAGACTGTATCGGTACAGTATTGTATGTTGTAGGTACAGTGCCCATTAGTATGAGGTTGTAGACAGAGAGGGAGACTGTATCGGTACACATTGCCCATTGTAGGTACACATGCCCATATAGACAGAGAGGCAGACTGTATCGGTACAGTATTGTATGTTGTAGGTACACATGCCCATATAGACAGAGAGGCAGACTGTATCGGTACAGTATTGTATGTTGTAGGTACACATGCCCAGATAGACAGAGAGGGAGACTGTATCGGTACAGTATTGTATGTTGTAGGTACACATGCCCATATAGACAGAGAGGGAGACTGTATCGGTACAGTATTGTATGTTGTAGGTACACATGCCCATATAGACACAGAGAAGGAGACTGTGTCCTGTGTCTCATGTTCCGATGAGTTCTATCAACAACATGGTAAGATGTCCTATGAGTACACACAGCCAAACTGTGATTACAAGAAAAGGGCATGTGCTGACGGGAAGTTGCAATGTGAGTCTGCCTCCAGCCAGCAGGACTACAAGTGTTCATGTGACCACCAGAAGGGCTATGTGCCCAACAATCCTACGGACTGTGATTGTTTCAAATATGACAGCATCTGTGACTGTCGATATAGCCCCTGTGCAGATGGACAACAGCTTGCTGCCAGTGAGTACAACATGCTTTAACAATACCAAATCATAGGAATGATGAAGGAATTTCTTTTCAAAAGACAGACTGTGAATAAAACTTACTGTTACAAAATATAGTTACAAATTATGAATGATATCTTTGCTTGATGATGACACCATCATATGTTCAATATATTCAACTATGTTTGTTACTTTTCTCCAAAAATTGTATTAGGCTGATTACAGGCTGGGAAAGCCACATTTCAAAAACAGATAGCCAAGTTTGATGTGACTCTCCCGGCAATAATTATGGTTACGTGAGCATGGAATGTGGCTTTCCTGTTTATGCTGTCAAAACATTCTTAGTGATTCAAACAGGCTACCATATTTAACAAAACAAGACATGTTTCCTCATAATTTTATTTAGATCACAACAGGGATAATATCTTCATTAGCATAATATAATATACTAATGGGTATCATATTACATATAATATCACATAATAATTCATCTTAATCTGTAAAACATAATAATAATAATGATAATATGTCCAAGATATTTTTATGGATTTAACTTCTTTTTTATATTCTCTCACGACGTTTTGAGACCATTCCTGGTCCCTTCATCAGGTGAACTGGCAGTTAGGACTATGACATCATAACTGAGTTATGATGTCACAATGCAAGTGACATCACAGTACACTAGGGAGATTACTGTATAAGTGAGTTTGAAGAGTTAATTACATAATGATGAAAATTATGCTAAATAATAGAGTTGAAAGTTGAATTGTCAATACACAACAACTGCTATTTACACAAAGGTTACTTGATAGCAGGCTTTCCAAAAAGAATAGTAGACTCGTTTTTTCTAAAGTTCATCAAAAGTTAATCAAGAGGTCCCACGCACTTGGCAGGTATACACCTTGATCACGATTAATTGCGGGTTTATGTCTCCTTATCTTGACAGCCTCCTGTAGTTTTCTCCGATGCCATTCGTTGTTATTTCTCGAAATCACCCTGATATCATTCCACATGATTACATGACTTGGGTTATTTGCCTTGTGCTCTGATATAGCTGACTTATCATTTTGTTTGCATACTGACGACTTGTGTTCAGCAACCCGGGTGTTAATGGGCCTGAGAGTCTCGCCAATATATTGATCGCCACAGCTGCATGGTATTTGGTATACACGATCCTCTAGGGTTGGGGCTTCCATTGCTAGATCCTCTTCCATTTGTTTGTGTGCCGAGGAGGAATCGTCTTAATTGCTGTACCGCTAAGAGAAGTGACAGCTACAGGAGGCCTTTCCTGATCGAGACTGTTGAATGGAGACATAAACCCGCAATTAATCGTGATCAAGGTGTATACCTGCCAAGTGCGTGGGAAATAAAAAAGAAGTTTAATCCATAAAAATATCTTGGACATCAATGTACAACTTCTAAATGCCACTGAAAGACAATAATGATAATAGTTTAGTTTGTTGTCATATGTACAAACATACAAATTCATTTTTAAAACACCGCACCATTACTGGCCGATAAGACCCCTGATGTAAGATTACAAAACAACATTTACAAACTTTCTTTTTCTTACACCCCATACTGCAGATGAAGGAGATCACCCACATTGTCCGTATATTCCATGTCACTCAGGTGTTGGTTGAGGAGCTTGGTCTTGATTGATGAAATATGAGTGTCAGTGGTTCTGTATGTCTTTCTTCCTGAAGGTGCTGTCCACTGGGTGGATAGTCTCGGGACAGCAATCTCTGTGAGAGACTGCTCATGCTAAAAGAGCTTTACTATCTGGTAAATGTTAGGGTGGCACTTCTGGACAAGTCTCTTTACCTTGTGCCATCCTTCTAGGTGATTGTTGGTACGGTGGCCCTGGTTTTTGAAGTGATTCCAAATCTTTGAGGTGAAGGCCTGGCCTTGAACCCAGTTGGTTGTCACATAGTCCATGAAGGCAGTCACTTTGGGGCCGGCAGGAGAGTCGGCAATGGCATCAAGTGTATTCTTTTGAAGATGTACAATCACAATGGCTACCTGATCTGAAATTAGTCATCATAAACGGCTGGTGACTGTATATATCCAGGAACCAGGAGCTTTCTGCTGCCACTGTTTGTTCGTCTGGTATAGGAGTTGCAGTAAGTAGTCTTGGCACTTGGAGCATTCTGTGTTGGTTGGCCAAGATGAGCTGCAGTGTCAGTTAGCCACGTTGAATAACTATTGCAGCTTTCCCCTTGACCATTGCTGATTGTGTGTGTTCCAGATTACAGTTGTGTGCCAGTTGCTGCTACAGCCACAGCCCCAACAAGGTAAGACAGCTCCATGTGCTGGTCTAGTCCCTAACACAGGAAACTAATCTAATAACTGGATTGACCACACTGCTGGTAAATCATGTCATTATATTGGTCTTGAACCCTGCCTTCAGGAGGATTTCTCTGGAAAAGTGAGGTTGATTTGTAAACTGTTTTCTAACCCCAATCCTATAAGCATGTAAAATATATACCAGTGGAACCTGGTCAGTGTTATCAACCTGTTATCATTATACATTTATACACTGCACTTATCCTGGTGAACCTAGTCAGTGTTATCAACCTGTTATCATTATACATTTATACACTGCACTTATCCTGGTGAACCTAGTCAGTGTTATCAACCTGTTATCATTATACATTTATACACTGCACTTATCCTGAAACTAGTATGTGTTATCAACCTGTTATCATTATACATTCATACACTGCACTTATCCTGGTGAACCTAGTCAGTGTTATCAACCTGTTATCATTATACATTCATACACTGCACTTATCCTGGTGAACCTAGTCAGTGTTATCAACCTGTTATCATTATACATTCATACACTGCACTTATCCTGGTGAACCTAGTCAGTGTTATCAACCTGTTATCATTATACATTTATACACTGCACTTATCCTGGTGAACCTAGTCAGTGTTATCAACCTGTTATCATTATACATTTATAGTTATCATTATACATTTATACACTGCACTTATCCTGGTGAACCTAGTCAGTGTTATCAACCTGTTATCATTATACATTTATACACTGCACTTATCCTGGTGAACCTAGTCAGTGTTATCAACCTGTTATCATTATACATTTGTACACTGCACTTATCCTGGTGAACCTAGTCAGTGTTATCAACCTGTTATCATTATACATTTATACACTGCACTTATCCTGAAACTAGTATGTGTTTGACTAGTGAGTCTGTGTTCACTCCAGTTGTCATTTCACCTCCCTGGTGGGTATACCATCCAAGCTGAACATCGGTGCTAGGAAGCTTTACTATCCACATTACATATTGGGTACTCTTTCCCTGCTGGGTGAACAGTCACTCGTGTAGGGTGTCACCACTCATTTGGACACTCATGGTTTGGGTGTATGTATGTGTTTATACCAGTTGGTCATTGCCATTTCATGAATGGGTTCTTTTAAATGCACAGGGCGAATGTACTGTACACTTGTGAAGATCTGTAGACATTGTTGGTGCATGAACCACTTGCCCATTCCTGTTGTTGTCATGTCAGTTTTTACAATCATAGTATATGTTATGTCTGAAGTTGTTTGAGGCAGCAGCCCACTGCTCACCACATGTAAAGACTGACATATGGGTCGCTCTTTATTGCAGGGAACCAACCACAACATCTCGACCAGCAGGTAGAGTACCTCTGGGATTCTTGGGTAGAAGAGAGCCTCGTACACATATCATACTGTCATTAGAGCTTACATACAGTTTTACAGTTTTAACTTCAATTTCTATTTCTAAAACTGAAGCTAAACATGTCAAGTGACTATTGTTTATTAAACAACTTCCTGACATTTAATCTGATTTTTGTTTCCATCCTATGCGTGGGAGTATTGTTTAAAGATGAAGGTGTGATTGGTACTTGTGTGGTGATGGTTATTTGTGTGTCAGCCAATTGTGTGGATCTGATGAAGTAATGTAGATTTTTCTCACACCAGGTGATTCCTCTAATACTGGTGCCGTCGTAGGGGCAGTCCTTGGCTTTGTTACTGTTATCATAGTACTTGGTAAGTAACATCTTAATTATGATCTAGTATAAAGGATTGGTGAAACAGCTGTGTATGAGTTTAATTAGTGTATTTTTCTCTAAAGTAACACTTTTCTGTAGTTTCATTTAATTCAGTCTTTATGTTCACTTCATATTGTGACCATTATTGCCAGTTATTTATTGTTTTAAAACCTACATCACTTACAAGATAAGGGTCAGAGTGTTCTTAAGACAAAGTATGTATTGAACTGTGTGCTACCTTCATGTATGGCAACCACCATAACAGTAAAATATAGACAATGTTCACATTTCAGCTATTATCTGTTATTGCATATGGAGGAGAAAGGAACAAATAATAGAGAAATTGAGCTCATCAGACAGACGTTTTCCATGTAAGTATTTTGAATTGAATAGATGCAGTTGATTTATGAAATGTTCATGAACTTACGTTCATGACACATTAGAAATGTGTGTCAGTGTTATGTGTGGCCCAGTAGTAAAAGGCACTGTAATTCGCCTTGCCAGTGGGTTTGAATCCTGTTTTGACCCAATTATGTTTCCATGTTTGTCAGCAGCATACCCATGTCTGTGAGTTTCAGCAAACTGGTAAACATGTACAACCTGCACCGCTTTGTGAGTTTCAGCAAACTGGTAAACATGTACAACCTGCACCGCTTTGTGAGTTTCAGCAAACTGGTAAACATGTACAACCTGCTCTGCTTTGTGAGTTTCAGCAAACTGGTAAACATGTACAACCTGCACCGCTTTGTGAGTTTCAGCAAACTGGTAAACATGTACAACCTGCTCTGCTTTGTGAGTTTCACCCCTCTAGAAGGGCCAGGGGATAAGGTCTTGGTACCACTGAATCAGTTGGAGAAACTGGTGTGCATCATTGGATGTGTGTCAATAATATAATCTGATTTACTTCAGCCATTGCCATTTCAATTTTTGAACTGTGTGATCTAAATGTACATGTGAAAAAAACAGAGAATAGGTCAGAGAATGTCATACTTGTTGAGATCATAGCTAAAAGTACCATTCCTACCTGTTTTTGTAAGGAACAACACACCTTTTCGCTAACCAAAAGGAGTGTGTCTGCTGTTTATTGATAATGGTTGTAACATTTACGATACGTCAAAGGCAGCTATAATCTAAGTTCATGGCCAAGTGGGAGTGGTTTCCCTTTGCATGTTAGCATGGAGAACTTAGCCCAATGTATGATGACTGTTGATGTTGAACAGAGTCATTGCTAACTACCTATATTCTGTTTGGGTCACATTTGTGTCAATACTTTTGTCTGTAGTTTATAATTGAAATATTCTATAATTAAATACAAGTGAAAAATGCATATCACAGGGGATCTTATCATTCGATAATCTAAAATCGAGTAAAATGGTCAGTTTCATAATAGAATTATGTTAAAATACAATTATTCATCAAACCTGTCCTTCGAAAGATATGTAAGCTATGTTAGAAATAGTTAAATGAAGTTTCATGCCTTTTATATATAATTATCAATGTAAATATTGTTAAGTAATTAAAACACAAGTGAATGTAAGTGTTTATTTGTATTATGATATTTTAATGAAAATATTCTCTTGTTGCAATATTAAACTGTCAGTTCCTGTATCATGACAATATTAATGCAGGAAGTAATCATATGCCATCTTCCTAGCAATTGTTCCCTGTAATTAATTTGATCATTTAAAAGAAAACCCTTGTGCTTGAGGCGATGGAGGAAAGTACATGTTGTTTGTACGCTGTTCCGTTATGTCCCACTAATGATATCAGTAGCAACTTTTGTGGGTTTGCAGAAAATTGAAGACAGGACTTTAGTGTCAGTTATTCTTACCCCAATTGTTGATTTTATCTAAGATCGCAATCTTAAATCCAAGCCATCTTACATTGAGCTAAGATTGGTTTGTGCAAGTGGAATAGGATAATTCTGTTCTGTCATTGCCACAAATCCTGTAACATCACACTAAAAATCATCAGATTTTCAGCAGAGGTCCTCTTCACTGTCAGTTATCCATAAATAGTTTCATAACAAATAGTATACTGCCTTTCCTCAGTGGTTGTTATACAGCAATGATGTCTCAAACTTTAGCATCTTCATGAAGCTGAAGTGAGTTAAATTTCTTGTACTTTGTAGACAAGATGGTGTTCTGCACTCCTACTTGTCACACTGTGACCTTCACATTGTACAGTTTGCGTGGACTGTCTCACTGTTCTCAATCTGACCAAGACACAGAAGACGTTCTGTCAGTGATGCACAAGGGAAAGCAAGATTTTTATGGATGTCAACTTCTTTGACATCCATAGCAAGCACACACTCTGAAACGTCGTGTTATTCACAATAAAGAAGTTGACATCCATTAAAATCTTGCTTTTCCTATGTATTCCACTTCTAAATGCCCTTCAAAGAGTGATGCCGGGTTCGAATCCCCACATGGGTACAATGTGTGAAGCCCATTTCTGGTGTCCCCCGCCGTGATGTTGCTGGAATATTGCTAAAAGCGGCGTAAAACCAAACTCAGTCAGTCAGTCAAAGAGTGATGCACAAGACAAGAAATGGATATGGGCTTGGTTGTAATGATTCCCATGGTGGTAGATGTTTTTCTCCGTTTTGCTGGGGTACCAAGTGGTAATGCTGATGACTACTGCTCCACCCTAACATCAGTTCTTCAACATGACATGAAAAATCATCTGTTCTCAACAGATTCATGAGATCTGTCTTGTTTGAGGATGATAGAAATCCACATACATTCCTAAGTGGAACGTTTTTACCGTTTCATTGGCTCTTTTGAGAGATCCTTTTTAACCTGTGGCATCAGCTACACTGGTTCAAAACAACAAAAGCTGATGCCACAGCAGCTAGAGTGTTGCAGCTTGTCTCATGTAGGCAGAAGCTTGATTACTATTCACACCCTTCAAGAGTTAGTAACCAAAGACCAGTCTTCATCTATGGGACATGAGCTGTAAAAGATTATGACCATCATCAAATATTTGTTTACAAGGGTAGGACAGTTTTTATGCTTGCAAAGTCAACACTATCAGAGAAATAAAATCAACACTATCAGAGGAATGTATCATCACTGTCAGTGGAATAATGTCATTACTATCAGTGGAATAAAGCCATCACTATCAGAGGAATAAAGTCATTACTATCAGTGAAATACAGTCATTACTGTCAGTTGAATAAAGTCATTACTATCAGTGGAATAATGCCATTACTATCAGTGGAATAAAGCGATCGCTATCAGTGGAATAAAGCGATCGCTATCAGAGGAATAATGTCATTACTATCAGTGGAATAAAGTCATTACTATCAGTGGAATAAAGCCATTACTATCAGTGGAATAATGCCATTACTATCAGTGGAATAAAGCGATCGCTATCAGAGGAATAATGTCATTACTATCAGGGGAATAATGTCATTACTATCAGTGGAATAAAGTCATTACTATCAGTGGAATAAAGTGATCACTATCAGAGGTATAATGTCATTACTATCAGTGGAATACAGTCATCACTTTCAGTGGAATAAAGTCATTACTATCAGTGGAATAAAGTCATTACTATCCGTGGAATACAGTCATTACTTTCAGTGGAATAATGGCATTACTATCAGAGGAATAAAGTCATTACTATCAGAAATAAAGTCGTCATTATTAGAAGAATAGAGTTATCTCTCTCAGAGAAATAAAGTCATTGCTATGAGAGGAATAAAGTTCACTATCAGAGGAATAAAGTCATCAGAAGAATAAAGTCATCACTCTCAGAGGAATAAAGTCATTGCTATCAGAAGAATAAAGTCATCACTCTCAGAAGAATAAAGTCATTGCTATCAGAGGAATAAAGTCATTATTATCAGAAGAATAATTCATTACTATCAGAGGAATAAGTTCACTTTCAGAGGAATAAAGTCATCAGAAGAATAAAGTCATCACTCTCAGAGGAATAATGTCATTGCTATCAGAGGAATAAAGTCATTATTATCAGAAGAATAATTCATTACTATCAGAGGAATAAGTTCACTTTCAGAGGAATAAAGTCATCAGAAGAATAAAGTCATCACTCTCAGAGGAATAATGTCATTGCTATCAGAGGAATAAAGTCATTATTATCAGAAGAATAATTCATTACTATCAGAGGAATAAGTTCACTTTCAGAGGAATAAAGTCATCAGAAGAATAAAGTCATCACTCTCAGAGGAATAAAGTCATTGCTATCAGAAGAATAAAGTCATCACTCTCAGAAGAATAAAGTCATTGCTATCAGAGGAATAAAGTCATTATTATCAGAAGAATAATTCATTACTATCAGAGGAATAAGTTCACTTTCAGAGGAATAAAGTCATCAGAAGAATAAAGTCATCACTCTCAGAGGAATAAAGTCATTGCTATCAGAGGAATAAAGTCATTATCAGAAGAATAATTCATTACTATCAGAGGAATAAGTTCACTTTCAGAGGAATAAAGTCATCAGAAGAATAAAGTCATCAATCTCAGAGGAATAAAGTCATTGCTATCAGAAGAATAAAGTCATCACTCTCAGAAGAATAAAGTCATTGCTATCAGAGGAATAAAGTCATTATTATCAGAAGAATAATTCATTACTATCAGAGGAATAAGTTCACTTTCAGAGGAATAAAGTCATCAGAAGAATAAAGTCATCACTCTCAGAGGAATAAAGTCATTGCTATCAGAAGAATAAAGTCATTGCTATCAGAAGAATAAAGTCATCACTCTCAGAAGAATAAAGTCATTGCTATCAGAGGAATAAAATCATCACTCTCAGAAGAATAAAGTCATTACTATCTGTGGAATACAGTCATTACTTTCAGTGGAATAATGGCATTACTATCAGAGGAATAAAGTCATCACTCTCAGAAGAATAAAGTCATTACTATCTGTGGAATACAGTCATTACTTTCAGTGGAATAATGGCATTACTATCAGAGGAATAAAGTCATTACTATCAGAAATAAAGTTGTCATTATTAGAAGAATAAAGTTATCTCTCTCAGAGAAATAAAGTCATTGCTATGAGAGGAATAAAGTTCACTATCAGAGGAATAAAGTCATTATCAGAAGAATAAAGTCATCACTCTCAGAGGAATAAAGTAATTGCTATCAGAGGAATAAAGTCATCACTCTCAGAAGAATAAAGTCATTGCTATCAGAGGAATAAAGTCATTATTATCAGAAGAATAATTCATTACTATCAGAGGAATAAGTTCACTTTCAGAGGAATAAAGTCATCAGAAGAATAAAGTCATCACTCTCAGAAGAATAAAGTCATTGCTATCAGAGGAATAAAGTCATTATCATCAGAAGAATAATTCATTACTATCAGAGGAATAAGTTCACTTTCAGAGGAATAAAGTCATCAGAAGAATAAAGTCATCACTCTCAGAGGAATAAAGTCATTGCTATCAGAAGAATAAAGTCATCACTCTCAGAAGAATAAAGTCATTGCTATCAGAGGAATAAAGTCATTATTATCAGAAGAATAATTCTTTACTATCAGAGGAATAAGTTCACTTTCAGAGGAATAAAGTCATCAGAAGAATAAAGTCATCACTCTCAGAGGAATAAAGTCATTGCTATCAGAGGAATAAAGTCATTATTATCAGAAGAATAATTCATTACTATCAGAGGAATAAGTTCACTTTCAGAGGAATAAAGTCATCAGAAGAATAAAGTCATCACTCTCCGAGGAATAAAGTCATTGCTATCAGAAGAATAAAGCCATCACTATCAGAAGAATAAAGTCATTGCTATCAGAGGAATAAAGTCATTATTATCAGAAGAATAATTCATTACTATCAGAGGAATAAGTTCACTTTCAGAGGAATAAAGTCATCAGAAGAATAAAGTCATCACTCTCAGAGGAATAAAGTCATTGCTATCAGAAGAATAAAGTCATCACTCTCAGAGGAAAAAAGTAATTGCTATCAGAGGAATAAAGTCATTATTATCAGAAGAATAATTCATTACTATCAGAGGAATAAGTTCACTTTCAGAGGAATAAAGTCATCACTACCAGAGTTTAACCATATTTTGGATTAAGATTAATCATTCTTTATTCCATTAGACTGTTGACAGGGTATAGCTTGTCAGAAGGGGTTGATATCATGACGGTAGGGCATTTGTAGGATGGCTGATAGTTGATGGTTGAAAGAAGTGACTTTCACTTGCACATCTGCAGTTGCTTTGGAAGGCAAGAGTTTTTGTGTGTTTGCATTGTGAAGATGACTTCTTTCATGGATACAATGATTTCTATAATAGAGAATATATGGCAGTGATGTAATAGAGGTACTATTTATTGATTATGAAAACAATTATTTGGTAACTCTAATCTGAAGTTATCATAATCTTTTCAGATGAAATTCTGCTTTAAAAAGTAAGTTTTCTCCTGGGTAATATTAGCTATATTTACAACCAATTGTGACTATTGAAACTTGTGATTATTATATGAGTGCTAATGTTCTATTGACATTACGCAAACAACATTTTTATACATTGATAGTGCGATATATCTTTACACGCCTCATGCTTTGGGCGAAAAATAATGATTTTATACAGTGTGGAGTAGACATTGAGAGTTTACCTTAGTTTTGAATGTTGCAGGTTGTCCTGAGAAGACTGATACAACAGACAGTTCCAAAATGGTTTCACCACTAATTGTGTCTGATCAGGACAAGCCTCTATGTCCAACTGCACCACCAGGTATGTAACACAGCAGTTCCGAGAGCCATGAGCCTAATTACCCGGTAACCTGTCAGCACTTGTCACTGCATCAATATGATTCAGGTCAGGTATACTCTCAGAATCATCCATTTTGTCTGATCACTAAGATGAAAGATATTTGGATACATCAAAGCATATATTGTTGTTGGTTTTGTTATTGTGTTTTTTCTGAGGGTACCTGGATGACATTCCATATTTCTTGACTGGTTTGCAACATCTGCTATGCCACCCCTAAGTGTGATTGAAAGTATAAGATGAAACATAGTTACATTTTGGTTTTGGTTTTGGGAAATAGGGTAATCTTTTTGACACCTAAAATTTCAATTTTATAAACTGGCGGCAAAATATGTCTGACTAGTATATTGTTTAAACAATTCAAAACATTTTGAAGTTTAATGTCATCTCTCAGTGTTAGGACTGAAAGAAAACAGAGGTTAATGTACGTCTATATATTTTTAGCTAAACTCCTAGCATAATTAATCTATTCTTCTGTGTTTATGCATTTTGGAACTTCATAAAAATATTTTAGTTGATCTGTTTTTTCAGTAAATTGCTAAAATGACTGTAATATCTAGGCATTTATGAAATTGCCTAAATAATCAGATTTTACACCTACATGCCTACACCAAAAAGGTTTGTGAAAACAATCAACAAGTGTTGTCCATCTCACATCGAAGAAATTTCCATTGGAACAGTATCCCATCCATCAACAGCTGACAAAAGTGGGTGTTCTATCATGGAATAATTATTCATACAAAATTCATTATTAATTATAACCACTACAAGCGATATATATTAGGATTCAGATATTAGGAAAATAGTGGTCTTGGGTCTGAGTGATGGTTCTGGTGAAACCCCTTTTCTAACTGGCGTGCTGGTCTGCTTATGGGGAATTAACTCAGCAAAGAGTCCAAAGTCGCAAGAAGCTAATCACAATTTATTTACAAGAATGGAATAACATGGAGTGGCCACAGAGAGTCAGTACAACCCTCTGGGCTGAGGGATAGAGCTGACCTGTGTTGGGAGTCTAAACCCTACTGATGAACAAATGGAGTTTGACTATTTATCTAAAATTGAAACAAGGAAGAGATTATGATTCGTTGACTGATACAAAAATAGGTGTAACCTACAATAACCAATGAAATAGAGAATATACAAAAATGGGGTGTGTCCTACATTAACCAATGAAATACAGAATATAAAAAATTGGGTGTGTCCTACAAAAAACAACTTCAATGACCAGACGGGGAGTACTTAATCCTGTTAATCCTATTTCAACTGGCACTAATCTCATTGGCACTTTTTCTGGATGCTTGGTTAGTAGTAGATATAATGACAGTCCGAGATCAAGTCCAACAAAAGCCTCTGTAAAGCTTTATTTCACAAATAAAGCTTTTGTCAGGCCCTTAGATCTCGCCCCATCATATATACTACTTTTTTGAACCCCCAGTTAACTTCCCGGCCCCATTAGGCAATAATAGTGCATACCACGTGGCACTACTGTGCCACTATGACCGTGAACTAGCACTTTCCTGATCATGTGATAGCTCTATGTCGTGTTGGCAGGATGCCATTGAGATTACCCGACAAGGTAAGTGTTAAATATTTTGCTTGGGGGGTAACATTGTACCGTACGGTATGATCAATAATTCCTCTCTAACGAAACCTCTCCCTGGCCCATCTCTCCAGTAGTACAAGTTCGGCTCGTCGGCTTTGATGTCCACTTTATCTATATTGTAAGTTTTGACTGACCATATCAGATCGATGGCTCGCTTATGACTATCCCCTTCGTGTTCCCCCGGCTGGTACTAGGTAGAGGTACCTCACGAGGGCCCTATCTGGTATCTGTTTCTCCTTCCCACGCAATGGTGCAGCCGACTCAGCCACTATTGATTTTAGTTTGAAAGCGTCGGCTGATTTCTTGCCGGTGAGCCGAGTGGTTTCGTGGTTGATGGCCGACACCACCTGAGGTAGCTGCGCTACCCATTCAGTCGATCGTTTCCCGGGTTGGCCATCTCTCTCGCATACTGATGCCCGAATAAGCTCTCGGCCAAAGTCCTATTGAATCTCTCGACTATGGCTTGGCTGCGATGGGCTCCGTCCGTGCCACGCCTGATCTTGGTATCGTGTTTGTCTAGCAGTTGTGACACGGCACCCATGAACTCCTGCCCGGGGCCGACTTGCAGCTCTGTGGGCCACGTCAGCGGACTGCGTTTGTACATGCGTTCGAATCCGCGGGCTACCTGGGCCGAGTCTTTCGCGGTCAAGGGTTCGGCTTCCTTGTAGCGACTGGCCACGTCCACGACGGTTAGGGCATACTTGTACCTCTTGTCGTGGGGTAGGAACAGGAGGTCAGCCTGGTGAACGCTATTGGGTATGTTAATACCGAACTTCCTTCTAGGCACGTAGCGTGGTGCCAGTAAATAGATCTGCCACAGGGCTTGTTTTTCAAGCCACGCTTTGACCTCGTTCGGGGGTACTCGCGCCATTTTAGCCAGCTTATGTACGGCGCTAGCTCCTTTCCAGTACCCACGCGGGCTGTAGTAAATAGCCTCAAACTTTCTCTGGTTCCGTGACATGTCGCCCCGACAGGGTATCGTATTTATATATACACCTATGTTCTTGGTTCAATTTTCTCATGCCCGTAGGCGTACGTGTTGATCCCGTCGATGGCTATCGAACGCTTAGTGTCCATTGGCGACAGGGACGTCTTGTTTATCGTCAGTCCTTATATCCTATGCCCGTCGCTTCTAAGCCTGTTCATTTTATGCCTGAAGGTATGGGTCTTGAACAGGGCTTCCTTGAATCTGGCGTGTTTGATGTGTTGTTTCAACACGTGCTTCTTAACACCCTTCGCCTTTCGGATCTCACCATTGTCGGCCTTCAGGATGGAGTACATCTTAGGCCTCAAACCTATGTACTCGGCTATGGGCGTGCCAGCACACTCGTCCTTCATCTTACCGAGGACCTTTTTATTTACCGTGCTGTGTATGGCATGGTCCTTGGGGTAGTCGCTGGTGTCATACAAATCGAGGCGTTTCTTCATGTCCTCGTAAACGTCCTCGGTTCGAATCTCCATCAGCAGGGAATCCGTGTCCGTGTACAGCACTTCGCACCTGTGGCCGTACTGTTTCTTCAGTTCGTTGTAGTAAAAGTCATACATCAGGTGTTTGGATAAGTCGAGGATGCTCATCCCCACGTAAACAGGCCGGTCTCAGTCTCCTGAGCTTGTCTTCCTCTTTCGACCGAACCAGCTTCACGGTCACGCATTTCCTCAGGTTCTCCATAGTCTTACCGAACACCGAGTTGTTCATGAGATTGTAGAGGTTTTTCTCAAAGTCACTGGTGGCCAGCTTTCGCAGGTCCGTGTTCATTCTGATGTAGGGCTCCATCCAGGGGCTCTGGTCGAACACGAGCACCCTGTGTATTTTGGTCAGCCTCATACCCAACGACAGGTACAGCTGTAGGTTGCGATAGTGCATGATGTACTTGGTCTTATTCATTAAGTTGGGCACTAGTTTTTCAACGTCTGCCACCCGCCCACCTAGCAAGTTGTGTTGGTACTCAGACATCCAGTCCTGGTTAACCTTCATACGTTCGGGGGCCAGGGGGTAGCTGTTGTGTGATGTGTGTAATGCCTTGGGGTATTCCAAGTCCACCTCGAGGATATAGCCTTTGTTCGAATCCGGCGCGATGCTCATAACATCGATATCGGATGATCCCCAGCCGATCTCGTGCGATGCCCATTCGAATCCCCCTGTGGGTAGATACTGGCTCATGGCCCAGCCGTACAGGTTGTTGGCGTCGAGGTAGAGAATATGATTGGTTGGCTTGCTCGGGTCGTAGCCCTTCACGTATTGATTATTTGCTTTTGCGTATCGTTTGGTAGCCATGAAAATCCCACCTCGCAAGCCTTTCTCAATGAATAGGTGCATGTCGTGATCGGTGAGCAATTCCAACTTAACTCCGGTCTTTTTCAGCAATGCATCCTACGACAGACCTGGGCTGGTGTAGTACCATGCGGGGTCGAGTTGGTACTGCTTAAAACACGTCCTCCTAAACGTCTCAAACACGTCGGCTAGCAGGAGTACGTCTGTCCTCAAGTACAGGTCGTGGTAGTCACCCAGATTCTTACAGCCCTGTTTATTCCATATGTTAATCTTGTGCGAGTAATCGTCTTGGGTGATTGCCAAGTCGGTCAGGTTGCTGTAAAATCGGTTGATGGGGGGTAGTCGGGTCTCGGCGAACTTGGCCCAGCCATCCATGTACTCGTAGGGGTACACACCCTTCCTCATCAGCAGGGGTCGAGTCTCGGCGTCGGTGTATCGATCGGTGATGGGGAAGGTATCGTTGGCCTTGACCAGACTGTCGAGTGACGACAGGAGGAACTGAACCGAATCGATGAACCTCAGGCCATTCAAGCTGAAGGAGATGTATCTCTCCATGTTGTTGGGGATGCACGTCAGGTTGCCGTTGACTTTCGCGATGGCCTGCATGATCAAGTGAGAGTCGTACCCTCTCAAGTTGTGGAAGACCACGGGGATGTTTATTGTCTTGGGGTTGATTCTGAGCTTGAGGTTGCACTTGTTGTGAGCGGCGCCTCTATACTTACCGGTGACGTGGCAGTGATCTCTCACAGAATCGCCGTTCAGCGGTTTATCGCAGACGTGGCAGTGAGTGCTGCAGCCGTGAGCTACCCGGTCGGCTTGAGCCATACGCATGGAAGCGACTGTATGCAGCGCATTCCTAATACTTTTCTCTTCCTCCTGCAAACACTTTAGAAACTTTTTAGCCGCATCAGGACCCCTGTACACTATGGGAGCTTTCGTTTCCCCATCACCAACGGACGACCACGTATCCAAACCCACAGGCCTCGTGCTCCTGTGTTTTTTGTATGCCTGGGGTACCCCCAGCAGCCTCAACGGGTTCGACCAAGGCTTCGAAGTCGGCATAGATGACATAAGGCACGGACATCTGGTTCTTGTGG